GAGACCCTGCCTCCATAAAAAAAAAAAAAGGTGGAAATCTAAACTTTTACCTTATTGCAAGACCCTCAAGAATCTCTTCCACAGAAGAATGCTAGAATAACCCAGTCCCCAGAAACATACACCTCTGCAATGGATATGATGGGCCCATTATTTTCTACCATCTGGATTCTGAACTTTTGCTAGCTCCACCTGGCTATTAACAAAACAAGTTAATTCTTCTAAAGGAGAGCAAAGCACACACACAAACACAGCCTGGCTTTGGCCATGGCCATGTTCTTCCATGATCCACAAGGCTGACCCAAGGAGGAGCTTTTGGTATCAAAACAGGAGAACCAGAGGGTGGGAAGTCATGCTGAAGCAAGTAGGACACATTCTCAGGGTTCCAGGCCACAAAGTAGACTAAACGAGAGCTCATTCCTGACCAGCCTCTTCCCTAAAGGCAGAGGATTATTAGCCAGCATCCACTGGGGCCATCCTGGGCCCAGTGAACTATGCTGGTATGCCACCTGATGACAAGAGCTCAGAGAAGGGCTCTCTTTCTAGAGGCCTAGTCTTTCATGCCAGGAAGATGGTAGAATTCTGGGGCTCCAGACTTCAGTTTAGAGATACACTAAATTCTCACATGGCCAGGAAGTTCTTGTTTCTTGAACTTGGGGAATAAAACCAAATCGTATAGACTATTAAGCTATTACCCTATTACCCGGAAATATTCACCCAGCCAGTTTTTTTTCTTTTTTTTTTTTGTAGACAGAGTCTTGCTCTGTCACCCAGGTTGGAGTTCAGTGGTGTGATCTCAGCTCACTGAAACCTCTGCCTCCTGGGTTCAAGTGATTCTCCTGCCTCAGCCTTCTGAGTAGCTGGTATTACAGGCGTGTGCCACCACAACCAGCTAATTTTTGTATTTTTAGTAGAGACAGGGTTTCACCATGTTGGTCAGGCTGGTCTCGAACTTCTGACCTCATGACCCCCCTCCCCACCCCGCTTTGGCCTCCTAAATTGCTGGGATTACAGGCATGAGCTACCACGCTTGGTCACACCCAACCAATCATCACTGGCAAATACTAAGTTTCCATGTGCCCAGCTTCATACCAGACTACAGGAGATAAGAATGACACAGTTTTCCTTTTCCGGTCCTTCACATGGCAGTTGAGGTGGCTAAGAACTAACATTTGCAGATGGTTGATTATCAGTTTACAAAGCCCATTCACGCCTACTCAATTATCATTATAACTCTCTTGGGATTAGATTTAGGTAGACAGAATCATCATCAATAATAAGAGAGGTAAAAGAGAACACCAAGTAGACTAAACAATTTTCTCAGGACTATACAGTAAGTAGCAGAGGCAGGACTAAATCCTAGGTCTTCCGATTTCTTACACACTCACTGCCAGCAGCAACAGTCTACAGGTCTAGAAAAAAAACTATTAAAAATCACACAGAGAAAGCAGGGGGGACCCTATTCTGGGCTTAAAGATAATACCTTAATGCAAAACCCAGAAAAGTATGTTAGTTCTATCTGGGAGGTTGGGGGTGCATCCTTTCTTGATAAACAGAAGCACTGATTAAAGACCAAGGCTGGTGGCAAGATCGCAGAAGGGCCCATTAATGTCCAGACCACATGGTCTGGTTACCTCTTCTGGGCCCCTCAAGTTTGTTCAAGAACACTGTAAAAGGTTGAATTTAGAATAGACTACATTGGTCAGGCATGGTGGCTCACGCCTGTAATCCTAGCACTTTTTGGGAGGCCTAGGCCAGCAGATCACTGAGGTTAGAAGTTTGAGAAAAGCCTGGCCAACATGGTGAAACCTCGTGTCTACTAAAAATACAAAATTTAGCCAGGTGTGGTGGTGTGCGCCTGTAATCCCAGCTACCCAGGAGGCTGAGGCACGAGAATCATTTGAACCTGGGAGGCAGAGGTTGCAGAGAGCCAAGATCATGCCACTGTACCCAAGCCTCGGTGACAGTGTAAGACTGTCTAAAAAAAAAAGAGAATATAATACATTATTCACACACAGCTCATGATGTGTGTGGTCTGAATACCTTTGAATACTATTGCTTTTCTTCATCTTCACATTGTACTTTCATTAACCAAGCCTGTGATAAAACTAGCTGTCTTAGCAGCTATCAGGAAGTTGTACTTAGTCAAATAAATACTCAAGAGCTTTTATGGGCTATGGGTCTTTTCTTCTAAACTGAAGAACTGATAAGGAATAGGACTAAGAGTCTTGAAGGTGAAAATGCAACTTAGTGCTCCTGAGCATGGCTGAGATATTCTCAATCTAGTATTGTTACATTGCTGTCCCATATGGGAAGGGAAGAAAGCGGTAAAAAGGACCAAGAATCAAATTTTGGTAGGAAGATTCTAAGAAACCAAACCACTGCTCCCTTTTTCCTTTCTGTGACGTGAGCTTGGTTTTACATGTTAAGCCAAAGATATCTCTAATTCTGGGCTTACTGTAAGTCCTCAAGAGTAGTTATTGCTGGAAGAAGTTAAATCCTTCATTATGGCAAACTCACCATAGAAAGGACATTCATTCCACAGACATTTATTGAGAGCCTGTAATCAAGCCAATCAATACCAATGCCATCCCTCATCCCTTCTTCTCTAGAAAATTTGCTTTGATGGGACTTCTCTATGTCTTTGCTTAATGTATTTACATGTTTAATACCTAACCATGTTTAATACCGTTGATAACACAAATTAGAGGCCCAGAGACCGTCAGCAGTGCAAAGGTTAGCAGTAGTAGTTGGCAAAAGGTAATCCATAATATAAAAATAGACTTTGGAAACAAGTATTCATGAAAAATCCACTAAGTGTAAAATACTTTTTTAAATTAATAGAGCAAAAGAATAATATCCTAAATGACTTACCATCTAGCTAGGGAGGTAAAAGGAAAATATTAAGATATTTTAACAAATTATGCCACAGGGCTACTTAAAAGCTGTCCCAGGCAGCATGTGGCTTTAGTAATTACCATGGGATTACAGTGGAAATTTGGGCTGGTCTGGTCAGAGGAGCACTTGTAGAGAAGAGATCTGAGTAGGACCCTGAATGATCATTATATTCTAGGTAAGCTAACATAAGAGGAAAAACGTTCCAGAGAAGTGGGGCCAGGTTAACAAAAACTTGGAAGGAAGAAAGCCATGTGTGAGTTTGGGGATAGCAAAGAAAACAATTTATTTGGAGCAGAGTTCACCAACCAGATAAAGAACTAGATGCTGGAAAGGTAGGCTGGAGAACAGGCTACAAAAATATCAGAATATTAGGTAAGTGTGGACTTTATGTATAGGCCAGTGATTCTCAAACTTTGATTATACATCCCTGTCATTGAACATAACTTTGTTCATGTACCCCAAAGCATGTAACTTATTTATAAATTCTACATCTATGCTGCTGTACTATTATATACATAATAAAACATACATGAAACGATTTTAAAATGATATAAAGAGGCTGTAATATTTTCTTCCCATACCCCAATAAGTTGTCCTATGTACCCAAGGGCACCCCCACATTGGAGACCACTACTTATATAGACAAGAGGGGGGCAATAAGTAGTGCTTACGGAAGACCAGTGGGTGGTGAAGACAGACTGGGTGGGGAAAGAGCAAGCAGTGGCTACTGCAATAGTCCAGGAATGAAGTCAAGGCCCAGGCCCAGATGGTAAAAGAAAAAAATGCCAAAAAAAAAAAAAAAAAAAGAAAGAAAGAAAGAAAGAAAGAAAAAAAGGATGACTTCAAGAAAAAAATTAAATATAGCATTGGGAAAATGAAGAGGGTATAAGGGTTGGTGTGGAGAGGGAGGGAGAATAAGTGAGTAGTCAGAGAGGGGTCTTTGAAAAGTCAATGTAGTACCCACAAGAGTGCTTAATTCCTGCTGGTAGGAAAGGGAGAGATGGAAGGAAAATGGACAACCTTCAAGAGTTTGACACTAGTTACTTGAAACAGCAGGGTTTTTTTTTTTTTTTAATTAGAAAGGAAAATTTAGCAGGAAAAGAATAAAATCATATGTATTAACCTCATTTATACATCATATGCTGAGATATCTGAAAAGGGAGTTACTGTAGTCAAAATTATTAGGTAGCTTTCCCTAGACAGCACCCATCACTTCCCTCCAGTCCGTGGGCCAAGTAATTAATAAGACTGCCCAATAGAAGCCTGGCAGAAGCACAGACATTTAGCCTAATGAGAACTGGAGGGAAAGCCAAATGGGTGATACGGATGAGAGTGAAAGGAAGGAAAACGCTTCCAATGGTCATCCTGGGGTGATACACTCAAATGTAAAAACACAAGAGTGGAGGAACAGCTCTATCCTAATGAGCTATCCAGAAGGGGGCTCTTTCACCAGCATCAGGCCAAAACCCCAAACCTGCTCAGACTTATCACCTGGCCCTCCAACTGGCTGATGGGTCCATAAGACCATCACAGGCTAGACAGGCTGCCAGTGGCTTATGTTCCGTTTCCCCCTATGGGCTAGACACTGGCTCTCTGAATTTATTGTGGTGAGGTATCCACACACATTTGCCCATTCCCCTTTATAATCAACAGTCTACTTTTGTAAGATTTTGCAAGCTGGAAGGCTACTTGAGGTCCTCAGATAAAATCTTCTGGTGCTTTCAAAGATCCAGTCAGTGTGTTCTGTGTCTCAGCATCACAACATACTTGCTTCTGAGCTAACCAAATATACATCAATCCCTGACTGAATGCCACTTGCCTGTGGGCCACTGGATCAGGCTTGCAAGGAGGTAAGTTTGTCTTGGATACTTTTCAACTTTCATCAACATTGCAACCCCCAAATGGTCTATTAATTCCCTATGCCCATTCCCAGACAAAGTCAAAAAGGACTCTGGGGTACAACTTTTTAGAAACCATCATTAGTTGTAAACAATCACATAGGAGGAATGAGGACAGGTAGAAAGGAGAAAACGGCAGATAGATGCAAGGCCGGAGCGGCGTGGAGGTGAGACACACACAGAACTGCCTCCAGGACGCCCACTTACCAGCTTGTTTTTGACCAACTTTTCTATTGCACTGACAAGGTCTGCAGCAGTAGGTACTTCAGTGGAAGCCTGCCGGGCTGCTAGCAAAGAGGAGGACTGCAAGACATCGGGCAGCAGAGGAAAAGCAGATTAACAAGGAAATAAGGAACAGTGATCAGGAATTGAAACAAAGTCCAAAGCTCAGGAGGCAAAGGAAAACACAGAATTTAGCTGTTTAGAGGGAAGAGATTACAGAGGGAGATGGGTGTGGGTATAATACAGGCATGCCCAACCCCTCGTCAGGAATCTAGCCAGCAGCAAATGATGGGACTAGGCTCTCCTTAGGCACGCCTACTAAGGAGGAGAGAGGAGGAGTCACCGACTTCCGGGGAGGCCTACAGGCCAGGGCTGCACCTATTGACAGCAACAGCTTGCAGGGCAAGGGCTACTGCTCTGTGGGCAAACAAGACTTTGGCCACTACGCAGCTGCCCATTGCTGTCTCGGGGTATGAAGGATTCAATAAACCAAGCCCCAAATGTGGCCAAAAAAGGGAAACAGTCCTTGCTTTACCATAGCCTTAGATACAGATCTTTATTATGTGTCAAGCAAAAATGCTAGGGCAGGACCCTTAGAGACCAGCAAGCTAGATACTTCCTCCCTATATTCTCTTCCTCTCTTCCTCTCTCCCACATGCCCCTTTACCCCTCCACAAAGCACAGCTGGCTCTGGTGAGGCCCCTGAACTGGAACACTAGGAAGTAATAAAAGGCTTTAGCCGGGCGCGGTGGCTCAAGCCTGTAATCCCAGCACTTTGGGAGGCTGAGGCGGGTGGATCACGAGGTCGAGAGATCGAGAGCATCCTGGTCAACATGGTGAAACCCCGTCTCTACTAAAAATACAAAAAAATAGCTGGGCATGGTGGCGTGTGCCTGTAATCCCAGCTACTCAGGAGGCTGAGGCAGGAGAATTGCCTGAACCCAGGAGGCGGAGGTTGCGGTGAGCCAAGATCGCGCCATTGCACTCCAGCCTGGGTAACAAGAGCGAAACTCCGTCTCAAAAAAAAAAAAAAAAAAAGGCTTTAGCAGGAGTCCAGAGGTAGCCAGGGACTATCCCGTTCATAGTAAAAAGAGACGACTCCGGGACCTCCCCGTGTCCCTCTTCCCCTGCACAAGCAAGAAAGACTTGCTCATGTGGTGATTTGGTCAGTGGTTTGGGGCTTCCTGCTCACTGAGGGATGGTGGTTTTTTGTTTTGCTTTTTCTTCCTTCTACCTGAGAAGAAACCGGGGAAGAAACGGTTAACCCTGCACAGCATGTGTGTGCTTTTACTACGAGCTTATCAGAGCAGAAGGCTGTGGTGTTCCCAAGGCCGGGACACGGCCTCCTTCAAGTTTGTCCCTGAGGTTAGAGAAGGGTTTCAAAAATGCAGTGTTTGCAACTCTTTAAGTCTTTGCTTAATCTAAGTTACTTGAAGTCTTTGCTTCTGAGATGGGAGGAAAAATAATTATAATTAAGGAAGACATAACAATATTCTTTTTCCTCTCTTGGGGGATGCAGGAAAAAGCTTAAGTCTGTGTGGAAAATCAGGTTATCCTCTTTTTGATCTAGTCATCCTACTCCTGGTTACTTATTCCAAGGATAAAAGTCAAAATAACAAACTCTGTATGGACACATTGATCTGTATGTAGCAGTATCAGCCATAGTAGCAAACAACGGAAACACCCAGTTAGGATGTCTCCAGCAGGCTGATCAAACACATTATGCAACAGCAAATAAGCGAAGTTTTCCCCAGCTATTAAAATTACAGCTAGGAAGAAAAACTTAATACGATTTTAGGGAATGGTAGTAAATAAAACATTGGACACATCATATGCACATTATAATTATAAAAGTAAAACATACATGCATATGAAAAAGATTAGAAGAAAACATGGAGAAGACAATTGCACGATATTACAATGGTGAACTTTTAAAAAATCCTTTGACAGTATCTTAAAAATTGTTTTAATAAATCAAACTCCATTTGCTAGATGCTCTGAGGCTCATCCAACTCCCAAACACTTAGAAAAACATACAGAAATCAAACAGGCAGGACTGAAGAGAGTTCATGTGTCTGAAAGGAGACTGTTGCCATCTGCCCCATTTCTGGATAAGGAAAAGGCTACACAAACAGGGGCAAGTCAGAATTCTCAGTTAAAAATTATCCAGAAACAATGTAACATCCATTTCTGTAAACATGCTATATTTGAGGAAATTAGGGAGAGAGAGGGTGGTGACCTCATGCAAGCGGGGCCCTTGGACAGAGGGCTGTGTGAGACATGGGTTCCCGACTCCCTGGGCCACGATTGCTGTTTATAAAACACAGTACAAATAGGCAGGGTCTCATTCCCAACTCAAGGTGAAGCACTAGCACTTCTGCCTCAGGAATCCAGGACGGTAGAACCCCAGGCTTCCTACTATGTTTCTTCCCAACAGTCCAAAATCAAAGAGCTGGCCCTGAAGATGGGGGCCACCAACATAACCTAGGAGGGGCTACGACTAGGTGAGTCACATCATGAGGACAGCTGCCACATCTCAGAGTCCCTAGACTCTGTCTTCAGCCTAGCACAGAGGAAGACTTCAGTTAATGCCGGTGGGTTAAAAAATCAAATGCAAATCAGAGAGAATAAAAATAAGAACTGAGAAGTCACCAGAAAGGACACATCAACAGATGGTGCTTTTTGAAATGCCTGCTCCATGGTATTACAGAGATTTGTTTCCTGCTTATATTTGCTGGGCCACCTCCTGGAAGGAGGCTGTCCCACTGCAGGGCAGAGCACTAGAGAACACAGGAGAGCCTGGAGAGACAGCTAGGCAAGCTGAGGGGTCCACCATCGCCACTGAAACAAAACATCACTCCGGAAAGCAAATGCGAAGTGCTCTACAGTCAAAACCTGAAACCAACGCTTCCACGTCTAGAGTCTAAGACAATCAGCAACGATAAGGCAAGAAAAACACAGTAATGTGAAAGCAGAGCTGCAAGGAGACTGAGTGACAAATGACGGAGAACACAAAGCTGCCCCAAGCCTCGGGTCAGTACCTGGAAGCACATCTAACCTACACTTCTGCTCCAGAACAACTGGGATGATCACCACGTGACTGGAGACACAGGGGCATCAATATTTCAAATACCAGCGGGCCTCTGAATACCAGTGAGCTGGGGAATCTTGCAAAGCAAAGTCAGGCAATTTCACATATTAGGTTTGCCCACCTTTGACAAAGCTTTTCCTCATATAGTCACTGCAAAATTTGAATAACACTGGGCGTGATTGGTAGCTACCATTAGTTAGAGTACAGGGAAGACAACTAACAGGTAGGTTGTACAGTCAGGCATGACGAAATAGTTGTGGCCTGCAACTACCTGGAATTGCTCCTTTTAGGATTTGCTGCTTCCAAAGACAGAGCCATTACCCTTTATCAACAGGACCAGACACCAGGAGATTCCCACCTTGAGAATTCTACACACACACCCCCTTCACTGCCTAGTATGAAGTTGGGCCTCCAGGGTTGGGGAAACAGAAACACAATTGATATCACCATGGATTCATGCGGAAGAAGAGATAACATGGGAGAAAGAGTATTACTATCCCCATCACACACAAAAAACCAAAATCACGCAGTACACGTTGCTCTTTTAAGTGAGAAAATAAAGAAGTTCTACCATTTCATCCTGCGTAGGGTCGTTGTCAAAAATCTTCATAGGTGGTGGGAGGGGTGTGTGTGACTCTTCATCCGGCTCATCTTCACCCCAACCTTTCTTGCTCTTCTAGAACAAAAGAGCAGTATTAGTTACTGTGTCACAAGCTAAACATGCCTATGGTTCTGGGCTTGACATTAAAAAAAAAAAAATAGGAGGGGAATTCCTCTCTCAACTCACTCCTATCGTTTCATCTACAGTTTCCTCTTTTGTAACATGGATACACCTGCTGATTTCAAAGGAGAGCGAGCACCAATGCAGAACACACACATACCCCTCAAAAGAAGCAAAAACAAAAACTATCTGTCTTACCAACTAGCAAGAAAAGAGAAGGCTGGAAGTAGTCAGAGACAGCCTAACTTTTACATTTTTGTTGGGCTGTGAAACCATAGCCCAAATGCCACCAGGTTCAGCTGCCATTTCCAGAGGGAGAAATGGCAGGTCGCATCAAATCACAACAGGGAGTCCACTTATACATCACAAAGAATTTCTTAGCCACAGCAGTGATCACAGCAGGATTGTGTGCCAAATAAAGCAGGCATCTCACTTCCCCAACCAAAACATATCCACTGTCTTTTGGTTACAGAATCTCGGCTTCGTCCAGCCTAACTCTGGCTATGGTCTCTCAAACCTTCCAGTGTGGGTGTTCCTGTTCATTAGTTTTCAGGAAGGCCAATTTTATCACTCACTGACTCCCTGATTAAAGTTCTTTTTTGAGCTGAAACCTGCCTATTGTAATCTTCATCTGTTCATCATGGTTATCTGGAGTAACCTTGAATGGTCTGTTTGTTTTGAAGTGCGGCACTACTCAAGAGACTTGAAAACAGCTATAATCGCCCAGCGCAGTCCTGTGTTCAACGGGAAATGATCTTCATTCTTTTATTCTAAATCTAAACAGGCCTAGCTGGTTTTAATGTAGTCCTTAGAAGAGGTAGGGAACTAATGACCAAATGACTCCCCTCAGGCCCAGGTCCTACCTCCTGATCTGGCAAATACTTTCTATCTGCTGCACGTCCTAGGCGATAGTCTCTGGATTGGCCATAAATCAAACTGGCCAATGTCGTTAAGAATAGAAAAGAATCCAAATCACTTAGTCTCAAGATAACACACTAGTGGAGACTTGAGATGGCCTAGGTCATGGGAGAAAGAGTATTACTACCCCCAACACACAAAAACAAAATCACACAGTGCGCGCTGCTCTTTTAAGTGAGAAAATAAAGAAGTTCTACCATTTCATCCTGTGTAGGGATGGAGACAAAAAGCCCCGAGGAAGGAGACAGGTCAGAATGCCCTCCTGACGGACGGCTCGGGCCCTGTGTAAGTACCTCATCAGCGCTGTCTCCCTGAGGGGTTGTCTCATCCCCAGGCTTGGGAGATCCCAGGTCAAAGCTCTTCCGACCATCGCGAACTTTCTTCTGCTTTTTGATGTTTCCGTCTGCTTTCCCGCTGTTGAGGCGGCGTACAGGACTTGTCAGCCACTTCTTAAGGGTGTTGGTGGAGCGCTTGGGACCCGGGGAACTGTGGATGGAGTTCAGGGAGGGCTGGGCCTGCAGGTTGGCCACGGACTCGGATTTGCCTCCATTCTCGCTTGAGGAATGAGAGTATGCATCTGAGGAAAAGGGACAGACACAGCCATGTCAGAGGCAGTGAAGGCAGGCCACCAACCCGGGAGTGAGACAGCTCCATCCTCAGGAAGCTAGGGGGCAGGGCAGAATGTCCAGGCCAGCTGTAGACCCCAGTCCAGCAAACCCTCTCAAGAACAGCAAGAAAGCCAAACATTCACTCAGTTTTTAATGTATGAAGCACCATCCCAGGTACTATGGCTAGAGGAGTGGGCAGAAGACAGACACTCCTGCCTTCATGGAGTTTACATTCTGGTGGGAAATACATATAATGGACTATAACAACAAAATAAGCAAAATGAAGAGTATGACAGGTGGTGAGAAGTGCTACATCAAAACATAAAGTAGGGAAAGTGATTAGGGAATGCTGGCGTTGGAAGAGGGGGTGCAGGTTGACCAGTTGGTCAGGGACAGTCTCACGACATGACGTGAGCCAAGTCATGGTGGTGGTGGTGATGCCATCTGGCAAAGGGCATTCTAGGCAGAAAAGCAAACACAAAGATCCCAATGCTACTCATGGAGTAAGCCAGGGGGACCAATAAGAAGGAAAGTCAGAAAAGCAGCCAGGAGCTGGGTCAACAAGCTTGTGGTGGGCCAGTGTTATGCCTCTGGCTTTTACCTGGAGTGAAAACCCACTAGAAGACTCTGAGCCAGAGTGATTCAATCTGGCTTATATTTTAAAAAATCATTCTGGTTTCTATATTGAGGGCAAGTGGAAACAGGAATACTGGTTGGGAGGCTACAGCACTATTCCAGGTGAGGGATGTTGGTGGTTTAGAAGTAGGGTGGTCCCGGCCGGGTGCGGTGGCTCACTCCTGTAATCCCAGCACTTTGGGAGGCCGAGGCGGGTGGATCACGAGGTCAAGAGATCGAGACCATCCTGGTCAACATGGTGAAACCCCGTCTCTACTAAAAATACAAAAATTAGCTGGACGTGGTGGCACATGCCTGTAATCCCAGCTACTCAGGAGGCTGAGGCAGAAGTATTGCCTAAACCCAGGAGGCGGAGGTTGCGGTGAGCCGAGATCGCACCATTGCACTCCAGCCTGGGTAACAAGAGCGAAACTCCGTCTCAAAAAAAGAAGTAGGGTGGTCCGAATGGTTGTTAGAAGTGATCAGATTCTGGATATGTTTTGCTAGAAGGGCCAATATGATTTGCTGACAGACAGTGCACAGGATATGAAAAAAGAGTCAAGGATAATTCAGGTGTTAGGATGGAGTTTCTGAGATGCAGAAGAATATAAGAGGAACAGGATTGGGGGAGGGAACACAGGAGTTTAGTTTTAGACATGTTTAAGATGCCCATTTGGTGCCTGAGTGGAGAAATTGAATAGCAGCTTGCCATCAAGTCTGGAGCTCAGGGGAGAAAGTGCTGGTGAGCTGGAGATAATTGGGGAGCTGTCAGAGGAGAGACAGGGTTGGTAGCCATGAGGCTGGGTGAGATCAGCAAGGGGCGTGGATACGGATAAAGACAAAGAGCAAGGACTAAGCCAGAAGCAGGAAGATGAGAGGACAAGAAAGTAGCCAGTGAGGCAGGAGTAAAACCAGGAGGGTGGGGTGTTCTGGAGGCTGTGGAACATGTGGAAAATGTCTTACAGAGGAGGGAGAAATCAGCTGTGCCCAACGCTGCCTGATAGGTCAGGGGAGTTGATCTAAGAATTAAGTCTTAAACTTAGCAACATGGAGGTCATTGGTGACTTTGAAAAAAGCAGCTGTAGTGGAATGGAGGGGGCTGACGCATAATTAGAGAGAATGCAAGAGCATGGGCTTGAAAAACAAGACATGGAGTATAGAGAATTCTTTGTGCTGTTTTAAAGGCATAGTGATTGGAGATCAAGAGTTTGTTTTGTTTTTTAAATCTCAGCATGTTGTTTGTAAGCTGTATGCCATATCTTGACTATTTTCAATCCTATAATGTGCTTGCAATAGCCTAAACATTTTATGTGGACTATCATTTCATTCTCTGTATAACTCTATGAGGTAGGTTCTATCATTATCCTCATTTTACAGAAGAAGAAACTGCAGACTTAAAAAGTTAACTTGCCTAAGAACATGCAGCTCATAGGGACAAGGTGAAATCTGAACTCCAGAGCCGACTTGAGCACTAAACTGTACTACTAGAGCTGGGTGTGGTGGCTCATGTCTGTAATTCTAGCTACCCAGGAGGCCGAGGCAGGAGAATCACTTGAACCTGGGAAATGGGAGATTACAGTGAGCCAAGATCACACCACTCCACTCCAGGCTGTGTAATAGAGGGAGACTCCATCTCAAAACAAACAAACAAACAATATTACTGAGCCCTTTCATGTCTATGGCAGCCCGGTTCTCCAGGCTCCCTCTGAATATGGGGTTAAGAATGTGGTTGGAGGAAGAGTAAGTCTAGGGAAAGCCACACTGCCGTGATAGATTAGAAAGGCTAGAAAAGGCAAGATGTTGCCGGGCGCGGTGGCTCAAGCCTGTAATCCCAGCACTTTGGGAGGCCGAGACGGGTGGATCGCAAGGTCAAGAGATCGAGACCATCCTGGTCAACATGGTGAAACCCCTTCTCTACTAAAAATACAAAAAATTAGCTGGGCATGGTGGCGCGTGCCTGTAATCCCAGCTACTCAGGAGGCTGAGGCAGGAGAATTGCCTGAACCCAGGAGGCGGAGGTTGCGGTGAGCCGAGATCGCGCCATTGCACTCCAGCCTGGGTAACGAGAGAGAAACTCAGTCTCAAAAAAAAAATGTGGGCATGCAGAAAAAGCACATCAAGCAAAGTTCATTTAATTTTCCCTAAATCCTTGATTTCTGAATACTCATTAAACTCAGAGGAGATCAGCATTAGAATCTACCTACTTTGGCTTTATAGAACAGTTTTGAGTTATTCAAAAGAAAGCCCTTTAAGTCCATTTCAGATGTCTTCCTAGCTCTCACTCCTTGGGTATACTGTTGTTGTTTCTATTAGTATTGAGAAAGCTAGGATTCCCAGATGTTCAAAATTTGCACAGCAGCACAGAAACATCAGCATGCAAATTAAGATCCTCAGTGAGAAATTGCTACAAAGAGAATAAAATACCTAGGAATACAACTAACAAGGAACATAAAGGACCTCTTCAAGGAGAACTACAAGCCACTGCTCAACGAAATAAGAGAGGACACAAACAGATGGAGAAACATTCCATGTTCATGGTTAGGAAGAATCAACATTGTGAAAATGGCCATACTGCCCAAAGTAATTTACAGATTCAATGCTATTCCCATCAAGCTACCAATGACCTTCTTCACAGAACTGGAAAAAAACGCCTTAAACTTCATATGGAACCAAAAGAGAGCCCGCATAGCCACGTCAATTCTAAGCAAAAAGAACAAAGCGGGAGGCATCACACTACCAGACTTCAAACTATACTACAAGGTTACAGTAATCAAAACAGCATGGTACTGGTACCAAAACAGAGACATAGACCAATTGAACAGAACAGAGGCCTCGGGGGAAACACAACATATCTACAACCATCCAATCTTTGACAAACCTGACAGAAACAAGCAATGGGGAAAGGATTCCCTGTTTAATAAATGGTGTTGGGGAAAACTGGCTAGCCATGTGCAGAAAGCAGAAACTGGATCCCTTCCTGACACCTTACACTAAAGTTAATTCCAGATGGATTAAAGACTTAAACATAAGACCTAACACCATAAAACCCTAGAAGAAAATCTAGGCAAAACCATTCAGGACATAGGCGTAGGCAAGGACTTCATGACCAAAACGCCAAAAGCATTGGCAACAAAAGCCAAAATAGACAAACGGGACCTAATCAAACTCCACAGCTCCTGCACGGCAAAAGAAACAGTCATTAGAGTGAATCAGCAACCAACACAATGGGAAAAAATTTTTGCAGTCTACCCATCTGATAAGGGGCTGATATCCAGAATTTACAAAGAACTAAAACAGATCTACAAGAAAAAAACAAACAAGCCCAATCAAAAGTGGGCAAAGGATATGAACAGACACTTTACAAAAGAGGACATACAGGAGGTCAACAAACATATGCAAAAATACTCATCATCACTGGTCATTAGAGAAATGCAAATCAAAACTGCATTGAGATACCATCTCACACCAGTTAGAATGGCTGGCGATCATTAAAAAATCTGGAGACAACAGATGCTGGAGAGGATGTGGAGAAATAGGAACACTTTTACACTGTTGGTGGGAGTGCAAATTAGTTCAACCATTGTGGAAGACAGTGTGGCAATTCCTCAATGACCTAAAAATAGAAATCCCATTTGACCCAGAAATCCCAGTACTGGGTATATATCCCAAGGATTATAAATCATTCTACTATAAGGACACATGCACACGAATGTTCATTGCAGCACTGTTTACAATAGCAAAGACGTGGAACCAACCCAAATGCCCATTGATGATAGACTGGACAGGGAAAATATGGTACATATACACCATGGAATATGACGCAGCCATCTAAAACGATGAGTTCGTGTCCTTTGTAGGGACATGGATGAACCTGGAAACCATCATTCTCAGTAAACTGACACAAGAGCAGAAAATCAAACACCGCATGTTCTCACTCATAGGCAGGTGTTGAACAATGAGAACACATGGACACGGGAAGGGGAGTACTACACACTGGGGTCCGTTGGGGGGAAATTCGGAAGGGATGGGGGTGGGGAGTTGGGGAGAGATAGCATGGGGAGAAATGACAGATACAGGTGAGGGGAAGGAAGGCAGCAAATCACACTGCCATGTGTGTACCTATGCAACAATCTTGCATGTTCTTCACATGTACCCCAAAATCTAAAATGCAATTTAAAAAAAATAAGCAAAAAAAAAAAAAATCTTCAGTGAGAATTCCTAAGTAATAATTATGTCGGCCGGGCGCGGTGGCTCAAGCCTGTAATCCCAGCACTTTGGGAGGCTGAGGTGGGTGGATCACGAGGTCAAGAGATCGAGACCATCCTGGTCAACATGGTGAAACTCCGTCTCTACT